TCCGCTCGGGAGCTCGGGGTCGTTCCGGTTGTCCGCCGCCGCCCGTCGGCCGGAGGTCACCGGAGATGGGTGTAGGCATTGTCCGTCGGCCCACAGGACTACAGGAGCATGTACGCATTCCGTTGTAGTAGTACTCCTAGCTAGCTTGGTGTAGTGTAGGCATTGTCCGTCCTCTGGTGAATTTCTAGTGCAGACGTGCAGAGCGCGCAGGAGCCTCTCTCGGGTTTCCGTGCCCGTAGCGGCGTAGTACTCCGTACTCCGTACTCCGTATGGTACGTGCAATGCAGGCAGGGCACCGGCCTACCGGCATTGCCGCCATATTCACCGTACCGCGCAGCTAGCAGCAGCAGTAATAACGGTAGTACATTCTACGTACTCCTGGGCGATGGAGACGAATCCCAGCGCCCGCTCCACTGTAGCGGCGCGTCATCATCTTCTGCTGCCGATGCGTACGTACGTTGCCGCCGCTTTGGGCGGCACCTGGCGTGCTGGGCCTGCCTGCCGCAACCCTCGCTGCTGTAGATGATGACCGGAGCAGAGCAGCACCGCAGTCCCCAGTCCAGTCCAGTCCGCAGCGGCGTTAATTCGTGGCAGTGGACTACATACATAAATGGGGTTGGCCCCCTGGCCTCGAGGGCCCAGTGCGGCTGCACAGCTCGCACCCCCAACCCCCCCTGGGCCGGGCCTGCCTCAATGCCAAAGTGCCCAACACTAACACGGTGAGGATGTGATGCAGAGCGCGAACCTCATCCGCGTCGTCCCCAACGAGCTCCTGCCCGGACCGCGTGTGGTCGGTCAGCGGCGTCGGAGCCAGCAACGACTGCGCCCACTGGCTGCCACCCCGCTTGGCTCACCGGCAGCCACTGGCGCTGCACCGCGCGCCACGCCGTGCTGCTGAGCGCTTCTCGTCCCTGCCAGTGGGAGCTTACCAGCACATCGGTAGAGGAGCACCTTCCCATCCCCGTGGCGGGCCGTGCCCCCAAATCCGCACCCAGATTCCCAGAATGCTCCGACGACGCCCAGATCCTTCGCCGGCCAGCCCGATCTATTCCTTGCCTCATTCGATCTATGGATCCACGTCGGGATTAATTGTTTGGGAGAGAGGTGGGTGAGGGTGAGGGAGAGGAGGGGACGGTTCCAGTAGGTCATGCGAGTATGAGGACGGACAGAGGAAGTGAGACAGAGGAGTGAGTGCGAGCAAAAAATACTTTTTCATATAATCGTGCATGGGGCCCATGAGGCACTGCATGCACACACTATGACACTAGGGCTATGGAACGCTTTGCTGCATGCCTCTATTGGCGTGAGCTGGACCTCAAAGTCCTAGTTGATCCCGCTGTAGCGCACTGGAGTAGATCGGACCTGCCCCTAACCAAGCTAAGGTATGGCTACCGAAGGGGCCCACACGCAGGCACAGCTGGCAGAGGACGAGACCTCGCCGCAAGTAGGAGCACTAGATCGATGGATCCAGCACCATATCCTCTCCTAGAGAAAGTCCTGGGGCCGCCGCTGTGCTAGATCGAGGGGGCCAGAGGGGCAATGCGTTGTGGTGAGGGAGACCGATGTGTGGTGTGCTGTCGGTGAAGAGGACGAAGAAGCAACGTAGGCGCCGATGAGAAGGAAGAGGCCACATGGGTGCTGGTGAGAAAGAAGAGGTGGCACCGACATCGGAGCAGAGGAGGAAGAGGTCGTGCGGCCGCCAAGAAGAGGAGGAGGGCGCGAGCACCGACAAGGAGGGGTGTTGCAGCTAGGAATCGTGGGGAAAGAGGGAGGTGTAGTGTGACGGGGGCACGAGGGGCCACGACTATAGATGGTCATGCTGCCCGTGGGCCAGTAGCACGATAGGAAGCCTTATTTTTGGCCCGTCCTGAGCACGACATGACACGACACAACACAGCCCAGTGGTGACCATGCCCAGGCCTATGGTGGCATGAGAAATCAACATGATTTCTCCCTTTGGGGTCTAAGAACCACTTTTGCTTCTACGTTGAAAGAGCGTGGGGAGGAGAATCGCGGGGAAGATAAGTCGTTCGGGAATCGGCACATTTTGCGGTGGTCAGACGACTTGTTTTTGCTACAAGTTATGCATAAGCGGCCCCAAACAGGCCCCAAAGCTCCGAGCGTAGTGAAGAAGCGAGAAAAGGTAATCCATGGGGGAACATGAGGAGATGGATCAAATCGGACGACAAAAATAGTAAAGGCGAGGTGGGAAAGGAAAGCAAGAGATGAAAAAAGGACAGCAATCATGACACGACGTACCTGATGTTGCATAGCATGAGGTGTTGTGACCAGCGAGTCCTAGATCATGGTGAGGCGACGGGGGCGGGTGACGTAGTGGCGGCTCTAATCAGAATTGTTGGGTGGGTGAGGGGAAAGACGCAGTCTTTAGGGTTTCCTGGTAGCACCGGCTATGACCAATCAAATTTCAGGGATGGGGTAGAGGAAAATTGCGAGCTTTAGGTTTTTGTGCCATGGGGGATGAGTCTCACATCATGACGAGGCAGGGGTGACGAAGGCAACTTTTGGGGATGCGCATAGTGGTGACTTCTCAGTTGGAATTTGGGGTGAGGGAGGGGAAAGGTAGGGGGGGGGGCAAGGGACAAGGTCCTAGACTGTGGCCAGGCGAGGATGGGGGAGTTGGCTTGTGGGCGACATGGTGGTGGCTATGACTAGATTTTTGAGGCAGTGAGCGGAAGGCATGGCCTTTAGGGTTTGTTAGGAGGTAGAGAGTGGGACACGAGGGAGGAAAAATAAAAGCGAAAGATGGGAAGGTCATCAAGTCCGGGGGGTTGTTGTGTGGAGTTCAATGTTTATGCTCTCTAGAGATGTTAGGCCTCCCACCACACCCCACCACCACCACCATGTGTTTAAATGCAGGACCACCTCCATTAATGGTCAGAGCATCATATGTAGTTTTTGCAGAAAGTCTACCTTTATTGCCCAATTTCCACCCAATTCTATCTTGTCCAGAGCATAAGGGAACAAGATAGTGTCCTCAACTATTTTCTTCCTAGTTACTCCTTAAGTCGTCCACAAGCCAGCAACAAAAGGAGACTTGTACTTCTCCATTTATCATTTGGGAGACTGATAGAAAAGACATTACTTGTATCGTCCATTTATACAAATTTAGGTGGGAAGCACATTTTGAAGTTAAAAAACACTCACTCAAATGCGACACAAATCCCCTCTACTCACCTATATAGCTAGCCAACCTTGGCTAGTTTGAGCTAATTTTTAGCTCAGCTAGTAACTAGCTCTATAGCTCATCCAAATCAAACTCTAAGGTACAGAGAGTTGTTGTGCTGGCCGAGAAGCGAGAGCAAATCATGATCAACAAGGGCATAGCGAGAGCAAATCCAGATTGTGTAAGTACAGTGCCAACTTTCAGCCGTGATTATTTTCACTGACCACTCTGTAGAAACTAAAGCAATACAGTGAGCCGCTTCTCTAGTCGTTTTCTTCCTCGTACGTGACAAGGCTAGCCTTGGTAGTCAGGACGAATTGCTGTATACTATTCCAATTCCACTTTCAACGACACCACAGACATATGCATGACATTTGCACACGTCACTGCTTATGTAAATTGGTCGATATGAAAGCATTTTTGAAGACGGTCAAAAACAATTTAATTAGAGGCGGAAACCGCAGCTGTCTCTGGCAAATGATCACTGTTAATCAACCACATACCTAAGATGTCTGCCTCTATTAACGGTTAACAAAGGCGGCATCTATTAGACGCCTGTCTCTATTAACTATTAACAAAGGCAGCTGTCCTAGTATTGGAGCCTGTTAATAGTTTTTGAATTTGAATTATTTCGTTTCCCGCTTTCATGTTTGAATTTTGTTGTCTCAATTATAAGCTTGTATATACTTATCTTGTCATCATAGCACGAACATTTACAAACTAACTAAACAAAGCCAGGATTTAGTTTAATTGTCTAAAACAGGTGTGGCAGTTTTTATTCTTAATCCCTATTTTCTCCCATGCTCTGATTTTGTTGTACTTGTCGTCCGTGGCTGGCTTGCTATCCCTGCAGAATAATTGCCATTTCGATGAACACATTTGTGCATGACGAAGTGGCAGAAGTCCACTATAATCCTTTATGCATGTCACTCTGCTAAGAATGTGATCTGTGCTGATAGCCAAATTTGTTTTATACTAGAGCTGATGCAATCACCTTTACATAATAGCCCCTATAAATAGATTTATGGTGGCAGGTCCCAAAGGTAATCAAATTTCCGTTGTTGGTTGTGCCTTTCTTGAGTGTTGCCGCCACGAATGGTTTCTGTATCTATACTCGGTGGTCCTTCCTTGAGTGTCGATCGCCACGAATGGTTTCTGTCTCTATACTCGGTAGTGAATCAGCTCTAAACACATAAGGCTAATTTTAATGGAGGGTATCATACACATTTATTAGATGTCATGTATCATGTTTTATTTTGCATAGAAATAATTAGGAGAGAGCGTGTGAAGCGGCATCGCCTTGTTGACACAGTTTGATATGAAATCGAACGGTTCGGTTCAGCACTAAATTCAAAAGTTTGAAGTTTGAGCCCATTTTCATAAGGCTAGTCTCAGTGGGTTTCATGTCCCAGTTTTCATCACAACCATATTTTTTAAAAATAGTGCAGAAAAGTTTTATCCCCATGAAACTCTTTATACTCCCATGAAACTTTCATCATCTCTCTTTGTTAATACAATGCCATGTCGACGTATTTAATACTCACGAAACTCCATGAAATCCCCGTTGAGATCTGCCTAACACTATATAGATAAAATAATTAATGATTCTGATAGTATTGCATCAAGTGACATGACGATATTATACATTATACGGCTGTTTCTTCCTTAGGAATTTAATGGCTTTTATGTGACGTGGCAGCTTTGGTACCCAAGTATTCGCCAATACGATATACACTGTCAAGCTGTTGTTTTTGGTTCCGACGATTACTTTTTCCTGTTTCGCTTCTGTAGGGAAGGGCGCGACAGACCAAGATTGTTACAGGGTGAACTGATGAACTCCTCCACTACAGTCGTCTTGGACGGCGGCCGGGGTTATGTTGAACGGGCGCTCCCAGGCGTACTGGAACCGCACCTCGCCTCCGCTCTCGATCCGGCCGCCGTCGGCGACGAGGTAGTCGTTGCCCTCCCGGCGGAACAGCTTTGCGTCGACCGGAATCGAGCTCATGAAGCCCTCGGAGCGGAGGAACACGCCGCGCACCGCGCACGCGCAGGGGTTCCTCACGGTCACCTCGAACACTGTGTCCACCCCGGCTTTGTCCCCATTGCTGGTCTGCAGCACCTCCAAGCCCGCGGCCCCTTGCCCGCACTTCTCGGACGACCTCGCCCCTGACCACCATGAACGATCAAGATGATAAAAACAACCGAGCAGATTGACTGGGGGAACTCAAAAGGAATTCCAAGGAGGAATTGGTTACCTTGCACCAGGACGAGGAGGACAAAGGCTGGAACAAGAAGATTGACGGACTGTGCCATGCTGCTCAAGTTGATCAGGGTAAAGTTCTTGCGATTTGCGTACCCTCAGAAACATTTTCACCCTCTATTTGTATAGTGAGCAAGGTATGTGGCTGGGAGGGGCTTGTGTTCTAAATGGGTGGTGTGCATGCCCTCTGACTGCAATTCACACTATTTTTTGGAGCTCTGCTTTCTGATTCAGCTAATTTCTGCTCGAGCGAGCTCCATTACAACAATGGTATAACTCAATTTGGCTAAATTTGGCCAATAATACTTGCAAAACAAAAAATAGGTACTATCTGTATGTTTGTGGAAAGATGTTCACCCCTGAATATATCACTTTCTAAATGGTTAGATTAAAACAAACAGTTTATATTCATCCTATGAGGAAAATGGCATCTAGAAAGGGCCATTAGTGATTTTGGTGGTTGATTGGCAACATGATGAAATGGACTAGTGTTAGTACTCAAAGTATTTAGTTCATTTGGATGAAAGAATGGCTTGCACAAAGGCAATATGAAGATCAAGCAGTGATCAATACCTCAAGGAAGACCATGTAGTAGTATTCAAGATCCTAGAAGACTTGCATAAAGCCTAGACGAGAAGTTGCAAAGAAAGGAACTCACTGAATGCTGACAACAAGCACCAGAAACCTCCGGTGGTTATCTGTGAGGGAGCACCAGAAGTTAGGGTGAAGAATAGTTCGAGGTAGCTGAAGAAAATATGCACTGGAACTCTACGGTGACACCGGAGCTATAACCCAGAGAGGGTTGCACAACGTGGTGCAGAAGACAGAAGGCAGCGGATTTGTCTGGTGCAAGGAATCCGAAGAGCACTGGAACATAAGCTAGGTGCGTTTGGCGACAGAATGACAGCACTAGTTAATGCATTAGATCTCTCAGGCTGATACACTAGAGCTCTCAAGCAGCAATGGTGGAATTCCAACCGCTAGTATAGCACGTGGCTTCACCGGATACCTGTGGTGGTAGCACCGGACATCATCGATGCTTGCTATGAAACAACAGTACACCCAAAGGCTAGTTTTTGACGTTGGAGGCTTGGAGCTATATACAGACGTTGGAGGCTTGGAGCTATATACAGCCTGTTCGGGAGGCCGTATCGTATCGTGGATTATTTACTACTGGCTGGTTTGGTGTGAGAGAAAAACACTGTTCTCGGCTGAAAATTTACGATCGTTTACGAGCAAGCGAACAGACGGATAGAACCTCACCGCCACCCCCCCCCCCCACACAACCGACCATTTCAAGAGTGTAGGAGCTAAGGAATATATTTTGGGAGTCGAGGATAATCTCTAGTACTCTGACCACCAATAGTGTTTAAGGGAATATATATTCTTAGGTGATTAGCATTGTGCATTGTGAAGTGCTTAGGCTTATTGTTTAGTGAGATTTGCATACTCTTGCCACTCGATTTTTGTGTGCACCATAGCTTGTACACTATGAGTTTGTAGTCTTGTGATACCCTATGATGTGTGGAGAGGCTGCTGAGTGGGTACTCAAGGGAACGTGCGTCGTACGACATTTTGGTCAGAAACACGATAGTGAATTGAAGATGTCCATGGAGGGGTTTGGAACACTACCCCAGATCTGGACGTCACTGTCGGTTCAAAAACCCCCTTCACTGCCGGATTTTGAACCGACAGTGACATACCGGCAGTGATGAGGGGTTGACATCATTGTTGGTTCTTAAAAACCGACACTGGTCTATAGGAAACAGTGTCGGTTTCTGGCTCCACCCGACAGTGTCTAGTTGAACAACACTGTCGGTTTGTAGTCCCAACCGACAGTGATGGTTGCTTCAAGAGTGTCGGTTCTTGGCTCAAGCCAACAGTGTTGAGCAAGCCTACACTATCGGTTCATGGCTCAAGCCGGCAGTGTTGAGCTAGCCAACACTGTCGGTTGATGGCTCAAGCCGGCAGTATTGAGCAAGACAACACTGTCGGTTTATGGCTCAAGCCGGCAGTGTTTTGCAAGACAACACTGTCGGTTCGTTGCTAACCGGCAGTGATAGCTCATTCGCATTTTATTGTTTTATAATTGATTTTAATTTATATTTTTTCATGGAATCGGGTTTCGCTTTATATACGCTACGTAGACGACAGGTCCATCAATATTAAACATTATAAATGTTACGGTTACAGTTCAAATGTTCTTATCCAGATCTCGATCCCTCAAAATAAAAAAAATGATCTCGGACTTCACAGATTGTGCAATGCTTCTCGGACTTCTTACAATAATCTGGCGAGCCGCTCTGAGCCATACTGGTCCTTGTACCTCACGGATTGTGCAATGGAAAATACTTCATCTTTTTCCAATACCTCGGCTAAGATGAATTTTGCGAGCTCCGATTGCAGTGCGACGATCTCCATGTCTAACAGCCTTTGGTGGTTATATTTCTTGCGCTGTCGTTCAAAAAAGATGATATCCAAAGAGGAACAGTAGATCATTTTGTTGAATTATTAACAGATATAAATGAAATGGGGATTATACACACCAACTTATCGGCTTCTTCCGATTTCCCGCCGATGTAGCGAAGCATTGCCCATATTACATAAAACCCGCATTCATTGTTTCCCGCCGGTTGTGACAGGTACTTCCCCTCCATTTCGACAACCTTGAATGGGACCGGCGTCCCACCAATATGTCTTCTTCGGACACTGAGCAACATTAAAGGGAGAAACATTAGAAAGCGGTATGTGTGATTAGAAAATAATATGTTATTAGGATCGCTTACTAATTCAGCACTGCCACCAGTGCATCCAGATGATAAAATGGTTTTTTCTTCGAGTCCCACACCTCGATCAGATTTTTAGCAAGATTGACACAAATGAAGACGAAATGGTTGCTACAATCACAGAATCCTAATTATTGAATAATCTTAACGAAAAAAGAAGCATAAAATTAAAAGCCGAGAATACATACTCGCAGTTTGTAGGCTAGAAGTATGTGTGTTTTCTTTTTCATCGTGAATTCATCGAAAACAGCAATCAATCTCTGTTTCAGGTCTTCCACGTCACATCCATAGAGGCCTAGACATGTCCTCTCATTGACTCGCAAGGGGTCCAAGAAGCCTATGTAATCCTATTTGCTTTTTGGAATGCAAAATTTTGCTATACACCAACATAAAATCATGGGAAGTGCTCAAAAGTTAATAATTTGTCTCGAGAGAGTAGTTAATTATAATATCGTGCGTGTAGGGTACTTACATAGTCCACAGCGTCAACATTTGAACATCGAGAGAGCGTTTCTGGTATACCTGGAACAAGCACTCCCACTCGACATCGAAGTTCTCTTCTTCAGGATAATGGAAAACATGTAGCGAACGGATAATAACATCAAAACCAAAGTCGTCCGTTTCTATTGCTTGAGCCATGTAATATTCATGGAACTGGCGCATATATGTTGTCAAATTTTTATACTCATCATCGGGAACCAAAAGATTGCCCCTTTCATACTTCATTGCCGGTGTTCCCGTCCCTTGTACATCATAATAGATGTTCGCGGACTCTTCCATGGTTAATCCTGGGTTGTCTTCGACGTACTTCTATATGTTCCTTAAATCTTTATTGTGTATTTATTCATCTCTTGTTGTAGCGTATTTATTCTGTGTTTGCCTTTCAAATTCGGACTTCAACAAAGACGAAGGCAGTGAGGCACAGAGATTGAAGAAACTAACATAATCTTCCTTCGAGATGTGTGCTGTAAATTTTTATTTCATCAAGGTGGTAACGCTGCCACTAAACGGCCTTTTTCTTTTCTGTTGGTCCACTTTGGGAGCATTAGCAACCGAATCCAAGGACCTTTTCTGTGACTGCGAGGATATCCTTGATCTTGTTTTGGGCTGAGGTGGAGGAGGAGGAGGATGATGACGAGAATTCTGTTTTCCCGACGCTGATGAAGATGGAGGAGGAGGGGGAGGAGGAGGAGGAGTCTCTTTTCTCGAGGTTGATGAAGATGGAGTCAGACGAGGAGGAACAGAAGGAGACCTCTGTCTTCTCGGGGGTGATGGCTCTGGATGAGGAGGGGAGTGATCTCTGTTGGGAGATGGTGAGTGATCATCGCGGGTGGGTGAAGACTCGCAGTCGTCCTCATCATTAGAGGATAATTGATGGTCAAGCTTAATGAAGCGCTTGCGCCAGGCCACTTGAGAGCCCTTGTTTTGACCAAGTTTCAGCCTGTCTTCCGCTATGGGGTACTCAATGTGTATCTTGTTAAACTTCTTATCAAGTATTCTGTCAATGGTGACGCGAGTGTACCCCTGTGGAATTGGGCGGCCATTAATTGTCCAATCTCCCACAGGCCAGGCCTGGCCAAGCACCACCTTGTCCTTTGTTCATTCCTAACGGATGTACAACTTGACATTGATGGGTTCAGTGATGCTGTCCACCGAATGCTGTCGATCCGCAGCTGTTGCGACCCCTAAACTGTGGGCTAAAGGCAGTAGGAGTAGGGTTTTGTGGTACTCCTGACCCCTTGGACAGCAAAATTTGCTCGACTCACGCTTCAACAGTTGCCTCAATCTGTGCTTCCATTCTGTCTTCCATCTCTTTTAGTCACCTCAAATACTTGCCTCCTGTTTCGCTCTACCCCTCGAGCGGCTCCGATAAGTGTTAGATTCTTAGGGGAATGCTAGTTTCCAAGGAACAACACCAGTTCCTCTAGTGCAACTAGGGTGCTCCTTGATTCCGAGTGCTTGGGTGAGCATGTCTTTCTCCCTATTAGAAGTGCGAGTCCCTTGCCTCACCCCCTCAGTTACCTAGGAGATCCTTTGGATGAGTTCGCTCATGGGTTCATTTGTGGAGCTAAAGCTCCCGTCCTCGGCATGCCGTATATTCCTCCCCATATAGTATAATACCGATCTGGGCTCCTAATCCGCTGTCTCAACCTGAACGCCTTCCTCAGCAAGGCGATCCATCTTTTAAAGTTTTGCTTCAAATTCTGGCATCTTTTTGGCGTAGCCACGAGAGCCGAGATGATGAGGATTCGTCGCTTTCTGTGAGT